TGTAGCCAACATTTATAAATTAAAAAAATAAGAGGAATTTGGGGCTACAGTTTTGATATATACGTACACATTTAATTTCAAATTCCAAATTTAGGACTTTGACTTAGTTACCATATATATATATATATGCTTATGCGTTGGAAAGGTCATCTTTTACACTAAAGAAAAACATCGATATATTGATTTATGAACAAATGATGATAATCATAGTTTCAAAATTCATAAATTAAAAAAAAAAAAAGAGTTAATTACTTAAAAATCCTGTAGCTCAGGTCCTATTTAAAATTTTTTAATTTGATAAGTCATATTTAGTAAAACTGATAATATTATCAATTTTTTTTTTAATTTTTAAAACTAAGAATATTATCAATTTTGCATAATAATATTTCAGATAATTGTTTTAGTAACTGTTGAAAAAAGAGAGTATGAGATTAAGCGTTTCTGTCCTTCTACTTATAAGTTTGATTCAATTATTCAATAAAATCAAGAACATTATCAATTTTTTCCAGTTTTAAAATTGAAAACATTATCAGTTTTTTCATTTTTAGAGATTTTTTTTTTTTCACATCAATGTTCCATCATCATGCTCCTTTATAGACACAAAATTTTCAGTTTTACACAAAAAAAAAAATAATTCAATTTTTAAAAGAAAAACAATTTTTTCTTTGTATATAATTTTTTTTAAAAAGTTTTTTCAATTTGAAAGATGATGTTTTAAAGTCTTGAAAATTAAAATAAATGTTAAATCATCATGTTTCTTTATAGATAATCATAAACAATGAACAATCATTATTTTAAGGACAATTTTGACTATTAAAAATTTAATGGGACTTGAAAATTCAAAAAATCTTAATTAGAATTTAATGGAGTATAAATTCATAAATTAGGACTTATGTGTACATGTCCCATTAAAAAATATGAAAAAAAGCGGATCAAGAGTTCAAAATTCAAAATTCAAAGACCAGGGGTTATTTGTTTCATGAGATTGAAGTGTGGGATTGAGCTCCATATCCAATAAATTTACTAATTTATTTTTTGGTTAGTTTAGTAAAAGTCAAACTAATAGTCAAATACACACCATTTCTAACTAAATAGTCCAGTGACTATTTATTTACGACTAATAATCTATTGTATTGCAGTTTGCTCTTATCTAGTCCGTTCAAACAAATACCCCTACAAATAATAGATAAAGATGGACTCTTGTTGGATTTCTAGTAAATTTTAAACAAATCATACAAGTAGAGATACACAAGAAGAAAAACAAACATCCATATTTAATATGATTTTTTTTTTTTTTTTTTTGAGAAAATAACCAATAAGTCATTTTACTCTTAAGATTATTATTGAGTTCTATCAATTTCCATATGGACAACTAAACCTTATTTTTCATAAAAACATTCCCAACAAGTTCATTATTTCATAATGGTTTATGTTATCCCAATTTTATACCCCTCATTTTATATCAACAATAATTTCATAAGTACTTTTAATCTAAGCAAATTATATATTTATAATTCTAAAAATAATGATATTTTATTAAAATATTAAAAATATTATAAACCACAATGAAAAAATGACCAATATTTTTAATTGTTGAATTAAATGAATTGTCATAAACAAAGATATAAGTACAAGATTTATTAACTATCTTATATATTGAGAAATATATAAATTTGTCATAGTATTATTTTTTATAACACTTTGAAAGTTTAATAGTATTTAACCTGTTAAATTGTTTATACCAAATAAAATTCATAATTAGAAATAATAAAAAAATGACGCATTTTATACTAAAGTTGTTTTGATCCAATTGTTACTTATATTTTTTTAATATAAATATAAATATTTTTTTCAATTGAATTTTGTAATGTTAATTAATTTAAAATTATTTATAAATTATTGCTCATATTAAATGAGGGGTAAAATTAGAATAGCATACACCACTATGAAAGAATGAACTTGTTAGTAATGTTTTATAAAAAAAAATAACTTAGTTCTCTATATTGAAAATTGATAGGACTCAATAGTAATTTTAAAAGTAAAATAGGACTAATTGGTTATTATCTTTTTCTTTTTCTTTTCTCTTTTGAAAGTGTGAAATTTCACAATTTTTCAACCAAAAAAATAAATAAATAAAAAATCAAAACAGTAAATTTCACTATTAAAAAATAATAAATCTATGAAATTCCATAGTTTCTAAATTATAGATATTTCATGAAAATAAGAAATTTTATAATTTTTGAAGGCAAATTAATCAGAGTTTGGAAAATTGTTATTTTAGTAGGCTATTTTAATTTTTGACTATTTTAGGAGGCTAAAATTTTTGTATTTGGAAAGATAGTTGGATTTTTTTGTAATTGGATGTGATGTTTATGAGATAAAAAGTGAAATGATTATGGATTTGATGTAACATTTTGTCGTATTGGCTATTTTAGCCTATATTATCTTTTAGTACTATTTTAACCAAAAAAACCAAAAAATTGCTTCCCAAACATCCCCGTTGTATACAATATTAACCAGAATTCCACATCATAACTATCAATAGTAGATTAATGTAAATCAATTATATTTCTCATATAAAACCACACCAAACCATAACTTACAATCCAAATACCTAATTATAATCCTTTTGCAGTGCATAGCAACCCCACCATTATCTGTCCCACCCTAGATCAGAGAATCAAAGGCCATCATGTGGTTGGTAACCACAAGTAGGGCCGTCAAATAAACCAAGTTACTTGATTTCAATTTGTATTTGATTTATTAAAAATTTGTTTGAAATTGGTTCAATATAAATAAGCCAAGTTGAAATCCAATTTTAAATTCCTTAACTTTTTAAGTTAAATTTGAACAATTTATTATTCTATTTGACTCGACTAATATATCGCCTTACCTCATAGGTTCTCTCAACTGTTAGGAATGGCAACGGGTCGGGCTGGGGCGGGGGATTACACTCTCTATCCCCGATCCCTGCAGATAAAAAAATCTTCGTTCCCACCTCCAATCCCCAGCGGGGATGCCACTCCCCACCCCCGCCCCTAAGGGATCGGGATTTCCGATCCAGAAAACCGACTTTTTTTGTTTAAAAAAAAAATTTAAAAAAAAAAATATTTTCAAATATGTTTCAATTCATCATCAACATATCAACTTAGGGAAAAAAATCTAAGAAAGGAAAAAAATCTTAAAAAATCATCAACAACAATTAGCAACAACATATCTGAAAAAATATCAACAAATTTGAAAAAATTATCAACAAACAACAGTCATGGATTCTCTCTCAAAAATTCTATTTTGATTTGAACCTAGATCTCATAGTTGGTGACGGAGGAGGCCATGGAGGATCGTGAGAGAGTGAGACAGTAGTTGAGAGAGAGAGAGTGGAGAGTCAGAGAGTGAAAGAGAGAGATTTGAGAATCTGAGATAAAGCCTAGCCTAAACATATATATATAATATAATGAAGCTTAACATATATATATATATATATATATATAATCTATACTATTATTAAAAGCCAACAATCACTTTGGAGTCTTGAAGCCATACTCTCATAAATTTTTTCTAATTCTCCTAAAATAACCTTAAACTTTTTCGGGTCTGGAGAAGCTATCACCATTCCCGGTTCGAAAATTATCGAGAATTTAATTTTTAATACCATCCATGAACATATGGGAACAATTTTCAAGAAAAACCCGTCTTAATCGAAGTCGGGGGATCAAGTCCCTATCAAACCGAGTTTAAATTGTCATCCCTATCAACCGTACCATACCAAAATGAATACCTAATTAATACAAACCATCAATCATATTGACCCCCATGCTTGAGCACACAGATCCTTCATTCCCATTTCTTTCCATAGTGACTATGACTATAACGAACTGACCAAACATGATTACTTATAACTACCAAATATTGCAACCGTCATTATGGGTATTTTGTGAGCGTCATCAAGAGTGATAGTGTTTGGTGGTGACGAGCCTTCCTTGGTAGCTAATATGGTGGCAACTTTGGTGCTTTTTCAAAGGGCCTATTTTATTGTTGCGTGAGTGATAATAAATAAAATCTGGTCTAAGAGAAACCCTTCCAAAGACAAAAGCGGGGATTATTATTCAAATCTCGTTGATATTTTTGGTGCAAGGGAGAGAGATAAAAATTTAATAAGTGAATTTTTTGAATACAAAATTAGATAAAATCTTTTTAAAAAAATTGGTTGCGTAATTCTATTTACACACTATAAAAAATCTCAAATCACACCATTTATATCATTTGGATATAAATTTTCGAACGAAAGACAAATATTCAGCTATAAATTTATGAACAAAAGTATTGTTCAGAGATAAACACTTGAACAGAATATATATTTGTACAAATTTTTTTTTTTCATTAATTTATGTGTGAACATTTGTTTTTTATTCGAAAATTTATATATAAACAAAATAAATAATGTGTACTTAGAACTTGTTTGGGGTGTGCTATATCAATGCACTTTTTATCTTTTTTTGGATTATATCACTTCTCTACTTTTCTGCACATCTTTTTATAAAAAGTCAAAATTATACTTATTGAAATTATTCCAAACAACCCTTAAAGATTTTTTATGGGTGGAATAAAACTTTCCAAACTTAGTTGTTTGGCATTTCTTAAATAAGTGTACTTATTTAGATACGTACAATTACGTTATATTATCTCTCCAATTTTTTACATTTTTTATATAAAAAAAAAAAACGAAACAAAATATTATACTTATTTACATGATACCAAATAAATTTTAGGGAAAATTAGTCTAGGGTCCCTCTCCCACTTTTCATAATGGAACAAATCCACAAAATTATTTTTTGATGTCTAAGGTCCCTAAACATATATCAGAGAAATTTAACTTTACCAAATCAAAACTCATCTCGCTCTCTCTCTAAACTTCTCCATTCTCAGACCTGTCCAGATCAACTCTTGTTCCTCACCCCTGACTTCATTCTCCAGCCGATTGAGCTTCACCTTCACCGTCAATGGCGTTGCCACTCAGGGTCTTCTTCTCCGATTCGAACACAGTTGCGTCGGTGATCGAGAAATTGCTGAAACTTCTAGAGATTGTGTCGACGTGCGCGGAGGGATGGGCGGCGATAGGCGGAGACGAGAGCTGCGTGGCAGCGATTGTGATCTCCTTTCAACTCTTTCAGGTCCACCGACCTCTTCATCTCCTCCACCGCCCTCACATCCACCGCACCACCATCGTCTTCGTAGCCAACTGTCCAATTTCCTTTGCTCCATTCCTCAGCTGAATTGGGTACAAACCCTTTCAAGCATTGACATATTGGAATATTATTGTTGTTGCAAACCCCGAAAGTTCTACAAAATCCATAGACATCACATGGATTTCCCGGTGCTGGTGCTGTCTAAGTAGTATACCAGTCTTTTCCTTCCTCCCAATTTATCGACGTCATAAAAATCCCGCTTCAAATTTGACAAATGGGGATAAGGTGTTGGCAGATACATATTCAAGTCCTCTTGGTAGGATCTCTGAATCAGAAAAGGGGGCTTTACAAGTGGAAAAGGTAGACAGAAATGGCAATATATCAGACAACTCCATTGTGGAATCTATATCAGGTGTGGATATATTTCCAGAGAAATTCTCTGAGTTTGAATTGAAATTTCTCTGGGTTGATCCAGAGAAATTTCAAAATTTTGCTGGATAGGTAATGTTGTGGAAAGGCAGAGAAATTTAAAATTTCTCTGGAGAGATAATTTTGTGGGAAGACAAGTGAAGTCAAATTTCTCTGGAGTGTTGAGTCTAAAATTTCTCTAGAGTGTCGAGTGTGAGAATCGTCGATTTGAGATTCAAATTGGGGGTGACAGTGGAGGAAGAATCCAAGGAGTTCTTGACGAGTATAACCATTATAGCTCAATCCCTCAAAGTGTATAGTTTCGAAGAACTTCAATCTGCAATAGAGTATTTCAGTCTCAAAATATAAGCATGCAGCAGAGGAATAGGGTTAAATTACAAATTCACAAGTACTGATTACCGTCCCTGCAGTTGACCTTGAAGAAAGAAATGTGCTGTGTTTCATTCGAGATAACCCAAAATCACAAACCTAATAACAGTAAAATTCAAGTCAAGATGGATTAGCTTTGAAACATGGGTAATATTTCACCAAGCAATCTTAATGATGAGATAAAGAAGCCACAGAGAAATTTCTCTAGAGAGTGGGAAGTATATGGAAGGCAGAGAAAATTTCTCTGCACTAATTTTCTTTGGACCAATTTTCTCTGATCGAATTTTCTCTGGATCGATGTTGAGGGGCCTTAGACATTATAAAAATATTGAGTGTCCTTTATGCTATAAATCATAATACCAAGGACCTTAAAAAAAAAAACCCTAAATTTTACTCTTAAATAAATTCCAAAAATTGGGCCAATGGCCAAAAGTTCCAAAAAAATGTACTCCATCCGTCCCAAAATAATGATCCTTTTTGGAGAATCTAACTTTTTTTGGTAGTACAATTATTACATTTGAAAAAAGTTAATTTTTCAAAATCATCCTTTTGATAGTACATTTTTTAGAAATATCAATGTCATTATTGTACTTTTTATATTGTTTATTAATTTAAAAGAAGGGTAAAATAGAAAATTTATATTATTTTTGTACTTGATTTTTGAAGAGGAACAAATATTTTGGGACAATAAAAAATAAAATGAGGGACTAATATTTTAAGATGGAGAGAATAATAAAGTGAGATGCTAAAAGGAGAATCATAACCGCCGAAGCGGCCAATCAGAGCAACACGCAATGCACCAATCAAAACATACAGCCAATTCCCACGTTTTAAGACCCGACCCATCTCAAAAAACTCCCACATTACATTTCAACAGCAAAAATTATTCGGTATTACTGGGTGCAACGCGCTCATTTTTCTTTTCATCAATCACTATTCATCATGTTTTTTATTATTTTTTAATTACCTAATATAAAATTTTAAATTTTGATTTTATGATCAATCATAATAATTTTAAACATCACGTAGTTGTGCTGAAAGACCACCAAATAACTTCTCCTTCAAAAGTAGAGCACCACAAAGCACAGCGCACAAGCCACTTCCACTTCCCAATCCCCACACAGAGAACGCAGAGTTGAAACGAAAACCAACAGGCCTCAGATATTTGTGACAACGATGTATCGCTCCTCCACACATAGATATAAAAAGAGTATTTTGTTATTCCAATTCAAAAATTAGATCTAGTTTTAAAATGAGTGGAAATACATGTATTTAGTAGTATATTATTTAATGTATCGATATTAATTATGACTTTATTATTAACTTCACTCATTATATAAATTACAAATATTAAAAACATCTTAAATTATGTTATTTTATCAATTAGTACACTAGATAGTATACTAATTGATGTATATAATATTACTCTTTTTAAATTTAGGAGTTGTTTTTGACTTTTTATGAAATACATAGTGATGTGGTAGAGAGGTGATATGACTTAAATAAAATGATATGACTTAGGATAGTGACTTTTTGACTTTTTTAGAGATGTCAAACTTAACCTTAGTAATGTATCAAGAAAATAATTAATTAATAATTAAACAATATTTAAATATCAATTAATCATTTTATTGACATCAGTCCATCTAAAGAGTAGATGTAGAAAAAGTGAATTTGTATATATATATATATATATATACAAGCATATCACCCGTGCTATGCACGGATTGTATTTACAATTATCTATATATATGAATTGTGATTTTTAAATATATATTTTTTTAAATGTCTTATTTCTTTCCTTTTTATATTTTATTAAAGTTTAATATTTTGATAATAATCATATGTGTTAGACTTTTTAAGGAATTAAATGTCTTTTTTTTATTATATTATAATAAAGTTTAATATTTTGATAATAATCATATGTGTTGGACTTTTCAAGAAATTTTTTTAATGATTGTTCTTAATGCATTAAGGTGTTATTATGAAAGATTATAATCATATATATTGGGACTTTTTAAGGAATTCATATGTCTTGGATTTTAAAGAATTTTTTTTATACTTGTTCTTAATGCATCTATATGCTATATATTAAGTAAAAGGGGGTTTTTAACCCCAAGACTTGTGAGAGCTCCAATCTTCCAATCTAAATTTTTTAATTTTTTGATTTAAAATATAAAAAAAAAAATTTAGCATTTATTAACTTCTCCCAACTCCCAAGTCTTACCCTCATAATAACACTTTAATGCATTAAGAACAAGCATAAAAAAAAATTCTTTGAAATCCAACACATATGAATTCTTTGAAAAGTCCCAACATATATGATTATTATCCCTCACAATAACATTTTAATGTATTAAGAACAAGCATAAAAAAAAAATTCTTAAAAAGTCCAACACATATGATTATTATCAAAATATTAAATTTTAATATAATATGATAAAAAAAAAAGATATTTAATTCCTTAAAAAGTCTAACACATATGATTATTATCAAAATATTAAACTTTAATATAATATAAAAAAGAGAAAAAAAAGAAAGATATTTATAAAAAGAAAATTAAACATATCATAATTCACATAATATAATGTGATTATTGTCAAAAATATTAACCTTTAATATAATAATAATAATAAAAAAACAGACAATTTAATTCCTTAAAAAATTGTCCAACATAATATGAATATTATCAAAAATATTAAATTTTAATATAATATATAAAAAGGAAAAAAAAAGAAGAAATTTAAAAAAAAATTAAAAATCACAATTCATATATATAGAATAATTGTAAACACAATCCGTGCTAGCACGGGTGATATGCTAGTTATATATTAAGCAAAAAGGAGTTTTTAACTCCAAATTGGTGGGAGCTCGAACTTTCTCTCGATCTAAATTTTCTTTGATTTTTTGATTTAAAAAAAAAAATCTTAGCATTTATTAACAAATCTCCCACTCTCAAATCTTACCCTCAATAATAACACTTTAAATGCATTAAGAACGAGCATAAAAAAAAATTCTTTGAAGTCCAACACATATTGAATTCCTTGAAACGTCCCAACACATATGGATATTGATCTCTCATAAATAACACTTTAAAATGGCATTAGAACAAAACATCAAAAAAAAATTTCTTGAATAAAAGTCCAACACTTGAATTGTATCAAATTTAAACTTTAATATAATATACATAAAAAAAGACATTTATTCTTGAAAAGTCCAACACATATGAATTATTATCAAAAATATTAAATCTTTATATAATAATTAAAAAAAGGAAAAAAAGAATACATTTTAAAAAAAAATTAAAAATCACCAATTCACATATATAGATAATTGTAACCACAATAAAATAGGAAGGCATTCATGTCTATACGTTTTTTTTAAGACTTCCTCAATTATAATAGATAAACACTTTATTTCTCTCATCTTATAATCTATATATAGTATAGTATAAATATATATATATTATATATTATATATTATGCTATCTAATCTCATAAATATTAGCAAATGGAGTTTTTTAACCACAAAGTCTTGTGGGAGCTCCAATCTTCTAATCTAAATTTCTTGATTTTTTGATTAAAAAAAAAAAAAACCTTAGCATTTAATTAACTTCTCGCCAACCCCCAAGCTTTTACCCTCATAATGAACACTTTAATGCATTAAGAACAAGCATAAAAAAATCCTTTGACAATCCAACACATATGAATTCCTTTGAAGAAGTCCCACAGCATATGATTATTTATTCCTCGTAATTAACACTTTTAATGCATTAAGACCAAGCCATAGAAAAAAATTCTTGAAAGTCCAACACATATAAGTTATTATCAAAATATTACAACTTTAATAGTAATATGAATAAAAAAAAAAGACATTTAAATTCCTTGAAAGGTCCAACACATATGATTATTATCAAAATATTAAGACTTTAATAATGAATAAAAAAGAAAAAAAAAACATTTAAATTTTTTAAAAAAAAACATGTAAAAATCCGCAATTCACATATATTGAATTGTTGTAAAAATATCTGAAGGAAAATGGGGTTTCTAAATCCCAAGCAAACTCCAATCCTCAAAGTTTAATTTTCTAAAATTTTTTTGATTTAAAAAAAAAACTTCAGCATTTAATTAATTTGATTAAAATCCCTGAACAACATTACATTACCTTTTTCCAATCCATATTACCTACATTTATTGATTTGGTCAAAAATTCCTGATTTAGCATTTAAAGTCCTCTCATACCAATAATTTAGATACGCCCGTGCATAATTGCTGCAAGTAAACCTTTTTAACTTTCTCTTGTACACAATGGTTAATGATAAGATTGTTAAATATTTTTAATAAAAAAATCTTAAAACATTAAATTTATATATCTAAAAAAAATTAAACAAAATAAAATATCTACTAAATTATCA